TGCATCCATAGTGCTGGACTGATGATTTCAGACTGACAGAAAAGAAGGACCACTTTGCATGCTTTACAATGTATATAGGATTGTACAAACTCCTAATAAGGCTATCAGTATTCTGGATGAATGGGTAACTTCTCTAGGGAACAGAATAGGGTTCCCGAACTGGCCATCTGTGCATAATGGTGAAGCCTGGCTTTGGCTTTACATTTTCCATAACCTTTTATTAGTACAGATGAGATTCATGTTTTCTGTAGTTAAGGTCTCTCTTCCTTTCACAAGTTTTTTTTACAGCCACGATCTTCTGACTCCTACCCTCTACTTCAGGGGTGGCCAACCTGCAGCTCCAGAGTTGCATGCAGCTCTTTAGAAGTTAACATGCGTCTCCTTGGGTCTTTGCACAAGCACACACTGACCAGCTTCCATAACCATTACATCACATTGTGTGCTTGTGCAAAGATTCAAGGAGACACATACTAACTTCTGAAGAGCCCGATGTGGCTCTGGAGCTGCAGGTTGACCACCCCTGCTCTACTTTATTTGTTTTCCTATCCTCTAGGAAACCCTTTTGCTGCCTGGCCTAGCAATGCTAGCCACTGCTGTTGTTGACCATTGTGGGCACTATTCTATCTTGGGCCATGTGTATCAATGCAATTATTACATTTGCGTCAATAGCACTTTGCAATTATATAGTCGTTACACAGGGAAAAATTCCTATTAAAAAGCAGCTTTACTAACAGTTACCAAACAGTGGCATCTGAGTTGTTTTATTGTACAATAACTGCAGACAAATTATGACTTTTTAATAGTGACCACCATGTATTTGGTTTCCCATGTTCTGTCCATGTTTAGTACACTTTTGTACTGTGTGCTTTGGTCTAAAGCAACACTAAAAATTGCCAATGCTTAATCCATAAACAAATAATGAAACTGAACACCAACAATCACCTCTTGCTAACAATTTCTGTACATGCTGTAGTTACCATGGTACCAACCTGAATGGTTAGTGTCTAAATATAGGGCAGGATAAAGGATATCTCTTTCCAACAACTAATAAAATACTGAGTTAAAAATGTTCATGGAGATTTCATTCCCTCAAAAATTTAGAGCAGTTAATTTCTATGTTCCCTGCACATATGTTGAAAGTGGCTGAAACTTCAAGCATGCGTGTTAGTCTAAATACACTGCAAGTAGTATTTTAGTATTTTTCAATAGGATTGGTTTGAAAAAAAAATCATACATTGAGAGAGAACAAAATGGATAACCTATATTTATGAGACTGAATATATATTCAACCTGCAGAATAATATATAGATGAAAAACAAAGGAGCACCATTGCTTGCCAAACACTGCACTATAGAAGGGATATCAGAGGAGTCACAGGTCAACATAAAAATTATTTGACAAACCTGGACACAGAAGTTTGCATGTCTGCACAACTTGTATCTGGCTAAAGTCAGTGCTAACTGGTTGTAATGCTTCTTCATAATACATTTACAAAATATTAGTAAATACTATTAGGGACTCACACCAACTAAACTGTATAAAGATATACAAAAATCAGCAAAAATAATCATGTTTACCTGCCCACCTTGCTACTTTTGGGAAGGACAGAGAAAAGATAAAATGAATTTGAGGGAGCTCAACCCCATACAGAATGAGAGACTTGTTAAGTTGAAATGACATATGGGCAACTAAATAAGAAAAAGTGGATCCTTAGATATGTGGATCCTTAGATATGTGGATCAATAATAAAGAAATACCTAGAAGTGAGGATTTCATTTAAATAAATTTAGCCTGTTCTCTTTTTAACTCAAAAAGGTCAAAACTTAGCAGTTTTTGAAATTTAAAAAAGTTAATCCATCTTTCAATGATCACACATGCCATCCAGTTCATGCAAAGATCTATTGAATGAGATGCTGCACTGCAAAGCTATTTGAATACTTTTCACTTTCTATTTATACTGCATTGCTAAGCCATTGTTTATAACAAATCTGGCAATGTTCAAGACCAGCGCCATATTTTGACATGAATGCTAACAGAAGTGCTGTTTCAGTTCACTAGCAGTTACTGTATAGCAAGGGGTGAAGTTATTGGAAGGAAAAGCACTTTTTAAAATGTTAAAACAAGTGTTAAGGTTCAGAATGCAAATTCCATGTCTGTTATATTCCAGAATCCCCCAAACCAGTCCAGATTTTCTAACTGCAGGGGTGCTCATCACAATATGTGAGTGTACTAGCCAAGAATGAGGCGCTCCTCATTTGAGAGTCTTTTTGGAGGTTATTTATAAAGGAAGAAAATATTGGGAGATTTCCAAGAGAAGCATTGAACAAAATGTTGCAACTAAGATACTAGGCTTCCTTACAATATCTATTTACCCCTTATCACTTACAGGCTTCATCTAACACCTTTATTATGACAATTTCATTTTTATTAGGCAGGGAACAAATCAAGAAATTTAAAACAATAGCTATTTATCACTTTTAAAACTGACATCACAACTTCATTCTAGGCTTTAAATAAACACATGCTAGTATTTACCAAGATTCATTAAAAATTCATGAGCATTCATTAGCCCTATGATGTGCCAAAGCAAATACTGAAGCAAAAGGTACATGCATACTTTGTTTCCTGTGCTAGGAAATTATGTATTATCTTCTACCACCTGACAAGTGTAGGCAATGGCCAGAAAAACTTCCTTCATGTAGTGAAGTTCACCTCAGTTCTACTGTATAATATTTCTGTTCTTCCAGCCGTCTCATCTCTTCACTAGAGACTATTAAACATATCACCCCAAGTCACTACTAAACCATTCCAATAACCTTGTTATCTAGATACAGGGGTGACTGGTGCCTCCTGAGTCTGGGAGGGGCACAATTTGTGCGTGGGCCCAGGGGTGGGCCAAAAGCCCCATATCCACTCCCATACTTCTGTACTGTGGCTTAGTACCCACCCCACTCCTCCCAAACTCACCACTGGCCTGTACAGCAAAAAAACTGCACCATCCTGAGCAGTGCCGAGTCAGGAGCCAGTCTCAGCTCCCCCCATACTCCACCTACCAGTTGTCTGTGTCTAGATATGTGGTTCTCAAGTTGCACTTTTTCAGAGAAGCTCTGATCTGAAAAACCTTGAACCAGCCATGCAAGAAGACTAGGTCAAGAAGCCAGGAGAGGGAAAAGCCAAGCCTCAAACTAAGCCTGTCCTCACCAGTAGTTTCATAGTTTCATAGTTTCTAGGGTCGGAAGGGACCTGAGCAGATCATCTAGTCCGCCCCCCTGCCATGGCAGGAAGAGCACTGGGGTCAAATGACCCCAGTAAGGTGGTCATCCAACCTCCTCTTAAAA